TTAGTTAGTAGTTAGTTAGTTAGTTAGTTAGTTAGTTAGTTAGTTAGTTAGTTAGTTAGTTAGTTAGTTAGTTAGTTAGTTAGTTAGTTAGTTAGTTAGTTAGTTAGTTAGTTAGTTAGTTAGTTAGTTAGTTAGTTAGTTAGTTAGTTAGTTAGTTAGTTAGTTAGTTAGTTAGTTAGTTAGTTAGTTAGTTAGTTAGTTAGTTAGTTAGTTAGTTAGTTAGTTAGTTAGTTAGTTAGTTAGTTAGTTAGTTAGTTAGTTAGTTAGTTAGTTAGTTAGTTAGTTAGTTAGTTAGTAGTTAGTTAGTTAGTTAGTTAGTTAGTTAGTTAGTTAGTTAGTTAGTTAGTTAGTTAGTTAGTTAGTTAGTTAGTTAGTTAGTTAGTTAGTTAGTTAGTTAGTTAGTTAGTTAGTTAGTTAGTTAGTTAGTAGTTAGTTAGTTAGTAGTTAGTTAGTTAGTTAGTTAGTAGTTAGTTAGTTAGTTAGTTAGTTAGTTAGTTAGTTAGTTAGTTAGTTAGTAGTTAGTTAGTTAGTTAGTTAGTTAGTTAGTTAGTTAGTTAGTTAGTTAGTAAGTTACATAACAGTGTTACCACTTTATGTTTGATGTAGGGTAACCAAATCTTAGTTAAATTTTATGTGATTCGAAAACATTTTGTTTATTATCAACATGAGCAGATCATAAAATCAAACAACAACAATAACTATTTAACACATGCTACTAATATTATTGTTGCAGTTGCAATTGCAGCAGTAGCTTACCCATGTTGTTGCTGTTGTTCCAGTAATAATAATGAAACCAATAAATATAAACTAAAATAAATTTGCACAGAAAAAAACTCAAAAAGTTGTAAAGATAATTATTGTACGTTTTAGAGTCCAACGTACACACAAACAAAATACTTACATATGTTTGTTGTTATTTTACATGTGTAAGTATTTAATAGTTTGTACTTTTTATTATTGTTGTTTTTTTTATAATTTTTGCGGTTGTATTTCAGAACGATTTTTGCATTGTAACGAATTGTGTATCAACATTTGCAAAATTTATGTTTGTCATAAATTAGAAGGGAGCACCTAGAAGTTTTAATTTTTCAATTTTTATGACACAGAAAGTGCGTAGGTTGTTCGGGAAATAAGTGAGTCAGGCGAAGGTAAACATTTGTGCTTTATTGCAATTCATTAGTCATTCAGTGACGCAGTGTGACAGAACAAGGATGTTCAATGAAAATTATTTATTATTATAACGAACATTTGTCATAATTAAATAATAATCAGATCAAATTGATTTATGGAATCATTAGTTTATATTGAAACATATGGATTGTTAAAACAATGTGGAGTTTTTAGTGATATTGTTTAATGCTTACAAAATGTTAATGTTAACAAGGGCGTGTTTTATTTGTGATACCGAATTTGATGTACCCATTATACACACCTATTATACATTGATAATAATATGAACATGAGGATGATTTATGAAGAGCGTCTTTTGTGTGGACTTGAGCCAATTTTAAATCCTCATATGGCTTGCGCACAAAAAATACTTTTGAGGCTTTAGAAATCCAATCTTCAGAACTGTAACAGTTTACGTAGCCCTTTTTGAGACATACAACCTTGAAGTACTTTAAAAAACATACTTCCGAAATGACCATACCAGCGTATGAGCCATATATTAATAATTGCAACAAATATACGTTCATATTTCCACTAATAATTACATCACCGAAGTTCAGGTCTGTAGAGCATAGACAAAAATATGATCGAGAGTTCTAATTTTTTGTAGAAGGAATTTTTGTAACCCATAGGGGCTTGTAGTTTTTTTCAGTCATACAACCTTGAAGAACTCTAATACACATACTTTCATAATGGACATGCCTGCGTATGATTTATATTTATTTATTGTAACAATTATACGTAAAGGGTAAATTAAAAAAGTCGTATATGTGAGACGTGAAATCTGCACAATGATCAGTCTAGTCTATAGTCAAGTCTATAGTCTAGTCTATAGTCAAGTCTATAGTCTAGTCTATAGTCTAGTCTATGGTCTAGTCTATAGTCTAGTCTATAGTCTAGTCTATAGTCTAGTCTATAGTCTAGTCTATAGTCTAGTCTATAGTCTAGTCTATAGTCTAGTCTATAGTCTAGTCTATAGTCTATAGTCTATAGTCTAGTCTATAGTCTAGTCTATAGTCTAGTCTATAGTCTAGTCTATAGTCTAGTCTATAGTCTAGTCTATAGTCTAGTCTATAGTCTAGTCTATAGTCTAGTCTAGTCTATAGTCTAGTCTATAGTCTAGTCTATAGTATAGTCTAGTCTATAGTCTAGTCTATAGTCTAGTCTATAGTCTAGTCTATAGTCTAGTCTATAGTCTAGTCTATAGTCTGGTCTATAGTCTAGTCTATAGTCTAGTCTATAGTCTAGTCTATAGTCTAGTCTATAGTCTAGTCTATAGTCTATAGTCGTCTATAGTCTAGTCTATAGTCTAGTCTATAGTCTGGTCTATAGTCTAGTCTATAGTCTAGTCTATAGTCTAGTCTATAGTCTAGTCTATAGTCTAGTCTATAGTCTAGTCTATAGTCTAGTCTATAGTCTAGTCTATAGTCTAGTCTATAGTCTAGTCTATAGTCTAGTCTATAGTCTAGTCTATAGTCTAGTCTATAGTCTAGTCTATAGTCTAGTCTATAGTCCTAGTCTATAGTCTAGTCTATAGTCTAGTCTATAGTCTAGTCTATAGTCTAGTCTATAGTCTAGTCTATAGGTCTAGTCTATAGTCTAGTCTATAGTCTAGTCTATAGTCTAGTCTATAGTCTAGTCTATAGTCTAGTCTATAGTCTAGTCTATAGTCTAGTCTATAGTCTAGTCTATAGTCTAGTCTATAGTCTAGTCTATAGTCTAGTCTATAGTCTAGTCTATAGTCTAGTCTATGTCTAGTCTATAGTCTAGTCTAGTCTAGTCTATAGTCCTAGCTATAGTCTAGTCTATAGTCTAGTCTATAGTCTAGTCTATAGTCTAGTCTATAGTCTAGTCTATAGTCTAGTCTATAGTCTAGTCTATAGTCTAGTCCTATAGTCTAGTCTATAGTCTAGTCTATAGTCTAGTCTATAGTCTAGTCTATAGTCTAGTCTATAGTCTAGTCTATAGTCTAGTCTATAGTGTAGTCTATAGTCTAGTCTATAGTCTAGTCTATAGTATAGTCTATAGTCTAGTCTATAGTCTAGTCTATAGTCTAGTCTATAGTCTAGTCTATAGTCTAGTCTAGCTAGTATAGTCTAGTCTAGTCTAGTCTCTAGTAGTCTATAGTGTAGTCTATAGTCTAGTCTATAGTCTAGCCTATAGTTGTAGTCTATAGTCTAGTCCATAGTCTAGTCTATCGTCTAGTCCTATAGTGTAGTCTATAGTCTAGTCCATAGTCTAGTCTATAGTCTAGTCTATAGTCTAGTCTATAGTCTAGTCTATAGTCTAGTCTAGTCTAGTCTAGTCTAGTCTAGTCTAGTCTAGTCTAGTCTAGCTAGTCTAGTCTAGTCTAGTCTAGTCTAGTCTAGTCTAGTCTAGTCTAGTCTAGTCTAGTCTATAGTCTAGTCTATAGTCTAGTCTATAGTCTAGTCTAGTCTAGTCTATAGTCTAGTCTATAGTCTAGTCTATAGTATAGTCTAAGTCTAGTCTCTAGTCTAGTCTATAGCTAGTCTATAGTCTAGTCTATAGTCTAGTCTATAGTCTAGTCTATAGTCTAGTCTATAGTCTGTCTATAGTCTAAGTCTATAGTCTAGTCTATAGTCTAGTCTATAGTCTAGTCTATAGTCTCGTCTATAGTCTAGTCTATAGTAGTCTATAGTCTAGTCTAGTAGTCTAGTCTATAGTGTAGTCTATAGTTAGTTTATAGTCTTGTTTAGAGTCTTGTCTATAGTCTTTTCTAGGGTCTAGTCTATAGTAGAGTCTAAAGTATAGACTATATTGTACTCTATACTCTAGTCTAACTTTCTTCCCTTTTATTAGTAAATAAAACGACCACATTAATTTAAAATTTTTTATTATAATAGTTTTTTTATTGGACTTTTATCTTTTTTTTTTTATTAAAGTGTAGATGAATTTCGATTTCTTTTTAATTTGAATAAATGGAATTTCCATTAAAAGTTACAATTGCATTTCTTTTAATATTTTCAAGCTAAAGTTAAGAAAGTGAATATAAAAGGAGGGGGAAAAAACAAAAACACAAATATATATTTTATTTGTTTTATAATTATTTGTTTTTATTTAAATATTTTAAGTAAAATAGTTTGTTTTTCATTTTTTGTTTTTTTATATTGTTGTTATTATTGTAGGTATTTTTTTTTTGTAATAAATTGTTTTTTTTTTTGAACTTTACAAGTTGCGTTTTATTTTTAGTTTTAAGTGGAATTATGCAAAATTGTTTATTTTTTTTTTTTGTTATTTTCAATAATTTGTTTAAGTAATATGGCTGTTGGTTGCATTTAATTTAATTTATTTTCTTTAATTTAATTTATTTTAAATTTAACATTTAAGTGTTATTTTTTATGATTTATTATTTAAGTAGTTTATTTAATATAATTAAAAAAAAAGTATTGGCTAAAACTTAAAATATAAAAAATTATATAAAATACATTTCTTTAAAGTATAATTAAGCAAAAAATACTGTTTGTGCAAAATATTTATTAATATAGAAGAAGAAAAAAAACTAAGTTTTTTTATATAAAATTAAATATATTTTAAATTTTATTTTAAACTTATTTTATAGGTAATAGTTATTAATATTTATAAATAGTTTATACCACAATGAGAATGTTTATCTAGTTTTTTTTTTTGTTTTTAATTTTTAAGGCTTAGTTTTATATATAAGTTTAAATTTATAAAGTTTTTTTTTAATTTAGTTTAATTCTGGCTTAATTGCTAAATGAAAATAAATAAGGCTTATGAGGTGAATATTTTTGATTTTTAAGATTCTTTTTTTTTCAGTGTATTTTTTTCTTTTAGTTAATGGCCTATTGTTTAATAGTTTTTTAAATTATTATCGCTTTATTATTAGTTTATATCGAGTCTTGTGGTTTTTTTTTTTTTTTAAGTAATTTTAGCTAAATTATTAAACTAAATTAAAGGTCAAAATTATAGGCTTAAGGGTTACAAATGTTCTAAACCTTGATTTAACACAGTCTTAACACAATCAATATTTTTAAACATTTTCGAGTCGTTTATGATCCTTCAATGTGATTAACACCTCTTTTGATCGGTTTTGTCTAGTTATTCAATAAGAAAAGTGGATTGGGATATATAAATATAATAAAATGCCTTTTTAAACAATTGAAGAAATGGACCTGGTTCAAGAAACAAAGTCATGTGAAGGGAACTTTGCCGCAAAAGCCATCGGATTGCTTACCGAACTTTTTGATGAATATGTTTCAGCGGTTTTAATAAGCTAGAGATATTTCTGAAAAGTAGATTCTGAATACATAGATCGCCTAGGCTTTGCAGACCAAGAATTGAAGGCATTAAAATTATGAAACACGAGCTCTACTGAAGCAGCAATTTCAAAACTATTGGGAGCAGAAAGATTCATATCACAACAGAAACATTGGGTTCTATACGAATTGAAACCGAGAGACCTTGTTAAACAAGTTTGCTTGTCCGAACAATAAGCCGAATAAACGTAAGAAATAGTATGTGAAACCCGACTAACAAGCCGAATCGTCAACAAAGCTAAATGTCCATTGCTCTAGGGCAATACGTTGTATTTAGTGGGGCTAAAAGGTTCCTATATATTAGGAGTTGTTGTAATCTGAACAGACCATCACAGGGAACCTGAACCGATCCGTTTAAAGCGATTAATGACCGAAAAATGGCCAGACATAAAAGTGTAATATTCCACAATGTTGGTCACATGTTGCAATACCTATTAAGAACTATTCAGAAAGAAGTGATTATGAAGTTTTGTCTCACGCGCCTTGAAGTCCAAACTTCTCCAAGTCAAACTATTATTTGTTTCGTTCTATGCAGACCGACGTTTCACTTCAGAACAGGATACACTGAAATTGGTTTGATTCCTTCTTGCCCTCTAAAGATGAGCAATTCTTTTGATGGGACTAAAAGGTTCCTAACTATTAAGAGATGCTGAAATCTGACCACACCATCACAGGCAACCTATACCGAATGCAACTGATCCGTTTGAAGGGAACATTGACCGAAAAAGGGTCAGATATGAAAGAGTAGTATTCCACAATGACAACACTTGGTCGCACGTTGCAATACCTATTAAGAACTATTCAGAAAGAAGTGATTGGGAAGTTTTGTCTCTGAAAGCTTTTAAACTTTGAAACTATCTTGATTTAACGTAACTTTATTTTAAAGCTTTTTTCATTTGTGCAGAGTTTAATCTCAATTTAAATCAAATTTTTATAAAAAATCTCATAAATATTGAACTTTAAAAAGAAAGCTTTTAATCTGTACTTTCTTTAGTTTATATTCAGCTAATTTGTCTTAGTATGAAAGCTTTTAATAAAATGCAAAAATCGATTGTACATTGTAAAGTTTATATTGAATTGTTTTAAGCTTGATTTAAGAGCTTTTAAACTGCGGAAAGATCCGTTATTTTGTTCAGAGCTTTATCTTAATTAAATAATTTTTTTTTAAAGCTCGCAAATATTATAGAACTATTTAATAAAAGCTTATTAAGATATGATTTTTAAACATTTTATTAAGAGTAAGTATCTAAAGATTTAACTTAAAAAGCTTTTAAACGAAAATCTTTCTAACTTAATTCAGCTTGATTTTATAGCTTTTAAACTGCAATAATCTGTTTTGCAAAACATTTGATTAGGATGAAGTTTTTAAATATTTAACCAACAAAGCTTTCTTACTTTCTCTAGCTTATCTTAAGTTAATTTAGCTGCATTTTAAGGCTTTTAAACTGCGAATATCTGCTTTACAAAGCATAGTTTATATTGGGTTACTCTATTAAAAAGCTTTTAAATTTTTAAACTTACTAGTCGACTTTTCTTAAACGAATCTATTGAAAGCTTTTTTCATATTCATATAAAAGCTCTTTTAAATTGCCTATAATTTTGATCTTTAATTTTGTGGAAATATTTCTATTTAAATTGTTCTATGTATATGTAAATGGAAATGTTTAATGAATGGTTGTTTTTGCATGCGTTTTGTTTATAATTAGAAACTAATGCAATAACTAAAATATAATTAAAATTAAAAAAAAAAAATAATAATAAAAATAATATTTTTAATATAATTGAGATCTATTTTAGGTTTAATTTCTTTTATTACGAAATTTTTTTCAAATTTAGAAATAATTTAAATTTATTCAATGAAATTGAATGGCTCTTATTTTAGGAATAGTGTGCAAAGCTTTACAAAAGCTTTGTGTTAATAATGATCGAATGGTGGTGAAGAGTAGCCGAGTTAAGATAGTTTAGTAAAGATCATGGAAGAGAGCAGTTGAAAACAATGAATAAGTTTTTTTAATTAGATATTAGCTTAAGATCCCTTTGAAAAAAGCTTTTAAATAAGCTTTTGTTACAAAAAGCTTTTTTTAAGTTCTTTTTTTAAAGCTAGAATCACATTTAGAATGTTGTTTATGAAATAAGAGCCATTTCAGGAAAAATATGTATACAAAAGAAAACAAAATATTTTCTACAAAAAAACCTAAATAATTAAAAGCTAAACAAAAAAATTAAAATAAAATTATATAAAAAAGAAATATACAACAAAAGCAATATGCTCTTAATAATCGGGTTATTACAATAAAAAAAATAAATATTTCTCTTTTTTGGGGTTTTAATATTTAAGGAGAAAGTAATGACTTTGCAATTTTTAACATTTTAAAGCAATGATAGGCAGAGAGTAAAGCAAATTTGCTCTCTGACTGCAAGAGAGCTTTTATGAGAACTTTTTTGTCTATCGCTGTTTCATCAAATTTCATCTCTTAATGAAGTAGAATGTTTGTTATTCGAAACACGTATACACTCTCTCTCTCTCTCTTTAAAGCAGCGATAGTCATAAACATACATTTTGAGAAGTCTTTGCCTACCTCTGCTTTATAGTTTTAAAAAGAGGCTCTCTGGATTTTTAATAAGTTTTCTTTTAATCACACCAGAGCGCTATTAACAAACGAAAGAGAGTCTTCTTTGTTTAGCAGCATTGAGAGAACTTAAGAGTATTAAATTAAAGCCATTTCTTTGCTCCTTAATAATAGCAAGAGAAAATTGTTATAAAATTTGATCTATAGCTATTTTCTTTTAAATTTTAAATTATTACAATAGAGTATAGTTAACAAAACCGTAACGCTTTTTTTCTCTTCTTTCCCAACGGAAAACGCTTACACCTAGTTTATCTGCGTATCTCTCTCTCGCTTTGCCGCTCAATGCAATGGTAGTGGTGTACGCTCTGGAGTCTTCGATGTTAATAGAACTTTCGGTACATGTTTGTCAATGAAATTCCTTTGGATTTCATTGTAATTATGTTGAGCTTTCTTGTGCTTACGCGCACCTCTCTGGTTAGCCAGGGGTTTGCGTAGAAAACTCAAGTCACCATAGTAGGGATTATCCTGCAGGAGATAAAGTGTGGTATTAAAATCTCTTTTCCACATACCATACGGACACATGGTAGAAGAACGCCAATCAGGTAAAGTGACACCCAAACGTTGGCATTCGCGGGCATAGGCGGCAAAACTATCGCAATGACACATGCCATCCGGACACTCGCAAACATCCATTTTACAGGAATCGATATAGTTGTTGGGATTTAAACGATCATTACAATTGCCAAATACTTCGGCTATGCGCAGGGGTCGACACAAGGCATTGGTTTTTCTCTGTTTGCAGATGGGTTGTACAGCTATGTTCTCTTTTTTACGTGAACAGGCCTTGGGACCGCCAACTTTCCAGGAATTGGCAAAACGCCATACCTCAGTGTGATTAACACCATCACGACTGGTGAGATCATCACGGGCCAAACCATTATAATTGCCACACAAGCCACATAGTCTACGTTTATAGGAAGAGGGGGCCATGATTTGCAAATAATTATTGCCATCCCATTCTATACTCAAGCCCAGCTCTGTTTTCAATATTATGCTCTCCTTTAAACGTTCTATGCTAGTAATGGCTCCCTGGCTATAGGGCAAAACCACTCGACTACCATTTACCTTAACTCTCATCTTTTGGCCCAAATTTACTCGTATACCACGCATTTTCAAAGTAACCGTTTTAGTCCAAGACGAGGTATTCGTACCACGTCCATCATTAGTCAAACGTATCGAAAACGTATGATCACGACAATCGGAAGCTAGCAGATATTTACAGGAACCTTGGAAACTATAAAATTTACCATCAAACGTTTTGAAATGAGGATCACCGAAAACGGTACAAGTGCCAGCGGTCTCTATACACTTGGGACAACATTCACCCGGCAATACCTTTAACTCCTCATTCGAACGACACTTTATGGCCGGACAACGCATCTCCGAACAGCGTATATTACCCGCTGTACAACGACACGAACGACACGGTCCCAAATTCCAGGTTTCATTATTTTGATAACTAATACCATTCGAAATGCATTCACTGCGTACCTCGGATATTATACAGCGTGGACAGCAACCATCCATTTCTTGATACTCTGGCGAGCATTCCAGTATAGGGCAGGTTTTACGCTCACATATACTAGTGCCATTGGTGCAAGTACAATTCGTGCAGCGATCGGGCATAAATTGGATTTTGTCATTGAAAATTTTGTGATTAAAAATGCATTTTCCTACAAAGAGTAGAAAAATGGTAATTAGGAAGGATGATGAGGATAAAAAAGTTTTTTAACTTATCATTTCAATATCATTATTATATTTATAGTTAATCATTATCATTCTCACCTGGTAGTGGCATAAATTCTCTTTGTTCCATACAACGTGGACAGCATTCGTTGGGTAGTAGTTTCTGTTTCGAAATGGGACATTGTAAAACAGGACATGTTTTTTTGGCGCACGTTAATTGATTACCCGTACATTGACACACCAAACAACGATCATCGATTGAGGCGACAACCTCTTGGCCTTCCAAAACTATTTGTCCATTGATCTTGCAACCTTTTTTTGTTTGTTTGTTTTTGAGCATAAAAGAGAAATAAGAAAATGTTAAATAAAAGAAACTTAAGATAAGGTTTGTAGAAATAAAATGTTTTTTAAGACGAATTGAAAGATCAGTTCTTAATTAGAGATCGGTATTAAAAAAAGCCCTGAAATAGTGAATAGTAATAGAGAAAAAAAAGCTTCTAGAACTCTTCACAAGAGTAAGTATAGCGCTTAAGGTTTCACTTTGAGATATACATATATGTTTGTGTAGTGATTTGTCATGCTTTCGAAATTACATAATTTCTCGCAGAAAGTGAGAGTAAGAGCTACGCATACAATTAGGACTAAAGATCTCCCTTACAGAAACTTTAATTTGTATATATTTAGCGAGATTCCACACTTTAAAAGTGCAAAACAAAAGTATTTTGGAATCATTCTTTAGGACTTCTGAAATTGGAACTCTTTACTGGATATAATTGCTCATAACTATGGTGTATGTTACATTTTTGATTCTCTTGAAAATGTGTCCTGTTTAAATGGCCTTTGGTCGAAATTAACTTTCTTCATATATGGAACATTTGGCAACGCATGGACCTTATGCTATTCCCTAGAATTACTTGACTCGCGGTAGAACAAGAGCACCTAACTTATCTGGAACCGGTGAACCGCAGGACAAAGTTTTGTCTTGTGCCGGTTATTGGTGATATCCCTTAGTTGACCTCGCGGGAAGATAATGTTGGTTTCACGATGAGGTCTATAATTGGGGATAAGTTCGATACTGTGGCATAAAAAAGACAACAGATATTGTTCCAAAAACTAACTGTGGGGCTAAATATGTGTTCTGGGTTGAATGGTGATGAATGTGCGGTATCTTACTCAGATTTCGTCATTGAAGTTTCCTTCTTTGTCAGGGTATGTTGAGGAGTTGCGCTGTTCACACCAGACATAGCACAGTGGGTTGTTCCCTAAGAGTAAGAACTTGTCTTTGGTTCAATTAATGGATTTGTATTTCGATCTACTGATTATGTCTATAGGTGCTGTTCCATTCCAACTGCGTGAACGAATGTGATGATTATGTATCTCGGAAGTAACGTAACGCTGCAATGGTCAGAGCTGAAATAACATGAGTAGATCAAGGATAGGGGATCATAAGTGGGCAGAGGTGAGTCGTCTCTAGTTCACCCAGTTCTGAAAGATAGGCGTTTACGTAAAGCATTCCGATATTTGAGCTTAGATAACAAATCGTGGTCATTATGATTTCAGATAGGAGTTCGTGGTCAAGCGGAATAAATATAAGAGCAGAGATACACCACCCTCGATAATCCAGAAAGATGTCCGTGCTCTCTCTCTCTATAGGTGCTGTTGCTGTTCCATTTCAACTGCGTGAACTAATGCGATGCTTATGCATCTCGGAAGTAACGCAACAGTGTCATGGTCAGAGATGGATAGCATGAGTAGATTAAGGATAGGGGATCATAAGTGGGCAGTGGTGAGTTGTCTCTAGTTCACCCAGTTCTGAAGATAGGCGTTTACGTAAAGCATTTCGATATTTGAACTTAGATAAGAAATCGTGGTCATTATGATTCCAGATAGGAGATCGTGGTCAAGCGGAATAAATATAAGAGCAGAGATTGACCACCTTCTATTTAAACATCCAGAAGGATGTCTGTGCTCTCTCTCTCAATTGAATGTAGCACCAATAGAGGTTAACATAATTTCGGAAAATTAAGGCGAAATCAGTTGATAAGGTTAAAACTAAGAACGTATTGAACTGTAAGAGAGCCATAGCCGATAGATCCCAATTTGCTCGGTTAAAATCGGCAATGCAAGTGTGAATAAAGGGAAGGGAACTTGAGGAAGTTAAACTGTTCGAAGCATCTTATGAACCAGGGCACTTGGAGATAATTGGGAATGTCATAAGGAGTAGGGAAGTTACGGAAGTTAACCTGACGTGTGCGAAATCGTTCGATGCAACGAGTTGGATATCAAAATCATCAGTGAGAGAATCTCATGTGGCCACTTGTAGTAATGGAACCTTGGGATGGACCGCAAAAATCCTATGAATTGATTCCAAAGAATGAAGGAAAAGAGATCTCATCAGAATAAATAAATAATGGCCGAACGTATTCAGAAGAAATTGGAACATGTAAAGGGGACAGTGAAATAGTGGAACACTTGCTATGTCGTTGTCAGGCTTTCGTTGAAATTAGATCTAAATATTATTACCAGATATCATATCCTTTAGAACACTGATTGGAAAATTCTTTGGATCTGCGATCAGAAAATTAAGTTTCTAAACATTCATAGATCTCTAGAGAAGGGTTTGCAGCAACATTTTGCAAGTAAGGTAGAGACCAACCTATATACTATAATGTAGTCTACTATGACCCTAAGTGGGAACTCACCATATCCTCTGAAAGAGAGTGTAAACACTTACTCTTCGTCAGCATCAGAGCTTTTTCGAACTAGTTCACTTACGAGTACCTAAATCTAATTACTAAAAGGTCTATGTTGTAAACAGTAAAACTAATTTAAATACCGATTACCGGGTAGGGTATTAAAGTAAACAAAATATTGCAGGCGGCAAGGAAACAGTAAATAAGTCAGCAACATATTATGTCTGCTGTGATTTTTTCGTCCATGTTTGTTGATGTTGTTAAGTTAATTATAAGTCTCTCTTAAAAAAAAGGGATAATAAGACAGCAATAACAACAACAAAAAAAGTCATGTTTTCAATCATGTTGCATTCAATGGTGAAATCACGATTTCATTGTTCTTAAGTTTCTTTTGTTCTCGTATTTTTTTAGGTTGTGTTTTGTTTAAACAGCAACAGGCCTTCTTATTTCAGGGACCACACAAAAAAATGTTTATTTTTGTTTTTTTATATAGTTTTTTTAATTGTTGATATGTTTATACCCTACACCACTACATATATAAGGTGGGGTAGAATATTTGTTCCATCAACAACTAAATTATATAAATATTCTGAATTCGGAGACGATTTTGAAACTTGAACATTTGTTTAGATGTCTACATCAGACAGGCTTCCGAAAATCAGTTACACAACTTGTATCCATCTTTTATAATTCATCCTTTAGATAAATTAGATTGAGAAATCTTAGTACGAAGTTAAAAAGAAGATCAATTGGCCATAGCTCCCAAATAAGGTCCACTTTCGAAAAACGTTTTTGAAAGTCTACTTTTGAAGATACATTTTTGTCATAGTAGAGTATTATAAAGTCGATGCAATATCCTACACTGTATGATATATTTATTTAAACATTCAATGAAAATTAATATGAGAATAAAGACATGTTATGTGGGATAGAGAACAGTAGTTCTTATGTTCAGTTGGTTGTAGTTTTACTGTTGTTGTTTTTTTTTTTTTTTTTGGTTTTGTTTGAACAAAACCACAACAAGTTGCTACATGTTCAAACATGATATTATAATGTTAGACATATACAATTGCCTTAATTTAAGGAAAATAAAAATAATATCACAATTGTTCTATATGTATAATGATCAAAGACAACAACTAAGATATTATGGTGGCACTAAGTTTTGTGACCGAGTTTTGGTTATCATAAAGGAATCAAGCAATCGTCCTTAAGAACTTTCGATTCATACTTGCACAAGTTTTCTAAAGGAACCCAGAGAAGTTGTTATTTTCCTATAAAGTAATTTTCTATCGATATCGAGGTGTAAGAAATTTTAATATAAACTGTTTCACCATTTTGCAAGCTTTTGAAATAAATCTGATTCTTCTTTTACTTACCTTGACATGTTGGACAACATTTCTCCCGGTTTTGGTTTTGTCAATTGACATGTCATCACACTGCGTATAGCATTTCATTATTGTTTCGGGTAACAACACTGCCAACGCATTTGTATGATTTACACGGGTCTTCGGGGTCCGTCCATTCCGAGCCACTGGCATAGGGGATGCCACGAAAAATGCAACCTACAAATATACGAGAAAAAATATATTTTTTAAGGATCTTTAGTTGTATTATAAGGAATTGAGTGAGTATCCAATTGTAAGCGAAGAACAAGTTAAGACTAACATCGTAATTAAGTTTTGCTTCTAAACGGAGGTATCTAATGTTCGGTTCTGTAGAGGTCTGTTGGTTGTATTTCTCTATAGATCCCGATCAGCTAACGGCAACCATATATATATGCTTTGGATCCCTATCAACTAACAACAAATTGAGATTGTATCCCACAATCAGCCCGTAGGTCCCGTAGTGATTTCTGATCACACCTATTTTCTCTAAACCAATTGGTCAACGTTGCCTTCAAGTAAATAAATGAGTGGATGTTGTCGATAGGTATTGTCCGTGAGTTTTCGTTGACGTTAATAGTGTTTGACCATAGGGTTAACCTTAACTTGTATATATTAGGATATTCGTCACTGAGAACATTCATCGTAATCTGAGCAAAGGCAGTTTAAGGCCTTTTCTCGTAGGAAACTGAGAGCGAAAGTAGTTGGTACATTACTATACACACGGTAAAGGGGAGAGGCGACATTTTAAACTTTTTTTGGTAATGTCGTTGACTAAGGCAGAGCCAGTTGTCTATTTGCAGTCGAAGTTCAGTGTGGTTACTGTGTCAAAAGATTCAATTGGCTTTCTCCTATGACATGACCAAGTTAATAAACCTAGTGACCCATTGGCTAGCTTCTGGAGACCCTACGTATTAGGTTAAATAACTAGCCCGGGACTGTCTTCTGAAACTGCTGAGGTCTTTTTATTCTAAAAATGTCGGCTTTTAATCGGCTTTTTTGAAAAGTATGTTTTTGCATGTTTTAACTTTTCCTCGTAAGGAAAAAGATATCCTTTGAGTACTTCACTTACCTTTGCATTTATTGCAACACGTATCAGAGGTTTTCTTTTCCAATAAATAACAATCATCAATAGGCGGACAACTTTCCTGATGGCACTTTACGAATCCATTCTGTAAAGAAAATAGAAAAACAACATATATAAATAAAACAGATTCATTAAACTAAATAATATCAATTTCAATTAAAACTAAACATCAAAGTTTGCTGCAAATGTAATACCAATTTCATATTTTCAATACTTGTATCACACCAATTCAGCCCGTAAGCTTTTTATTCTTATAAATTTGGTTAAAGCTTTAACTTTATCATAAATTCCCATTCCCAATTTTAATAAACAAAATTTAATATTTCTTCATTGGTTTTACTTTTCGTCTTAGTTCTTAATTCCTAGTTTAGCTTAAATAATTGTATATTTTATTTTTTATAAATAATTTATTTTTTGTTTCGATTTCAGTAACTACTGAAATCTTAAAGAGTAAATAAATAATAAATCTATAAATTAACTTGAAAAAATTACGTTAGAGAAATATTTTGCAATAATATTTTGGCAAAAAAAAAACAGTTTTGAAAAATAGAAACATTATAATAAACTACAACACTTAATGTTGGGTTAAAAATAATCGAAAAAATAATACAGTGTTAAGGAAAAGTGAGTTGACAGTTGTGTAGTATATAGTCTAGTCTATAGTCTAGTCTATAGTCTAGTCTATAGTCTAGTCTATAGTCTAGTCTATAGTCTAGTCTATAGTCTAGTCTATAGTCTAGTCTATAGTCTAGTCTATAGTCTAGTCTATAGTCTAGACTATGGTCTAGTCTATAGTATAGTCTATAGTATAGTCTATAGTCTAGTCTATAGTCTAGTCTATAGTCTAGTCTATAGTCTAGTCTATAGTCTAGTCTATAGTCTTGTCTAGTCTAGTCTATAGTCTATTTTATAGTCTACTACTATTTTATAGTCTACTCTATAGTCTAGTCTATAGTCTAGTCTATAGTCTAGTCTATAGTCTAGTCTATAGTCTAGTCTATAGTCTAGTCTATAGTCTAGTCTATAGTCTAGTCTATAGTCTAGTCTATAGTCTAGTCTATAGTCTAGTCTATAGTCTAGTCTATAGTCTAGTCTATAGTCTAGTCTATAGTCAAGTCTATAGTCTAGTCTATAGTCTAGTCTATAGTCTAGTCTATAGTCTAGTCTATAGTCTAGTCTATAGTCTAGTCTATAGTCTAGTCTATAGTCTAGTCTATAGTCTAGTCTATAGTCTAGTCTATAGTCTAGTCTATAGTCTAGTCTATAGTCTAGTCTATAGTCTAGTCTATAGTCTAGTCTATAGTCTAGTCTATAGTCTAGTCTATAGTCTAGTCTATAGTCTAGTCTATAGTCTAGTCTATAGTCTAGTCTATAGTCTAGTCTATAGTCTAGTCTATAGTCTAGTCTATAGTCTAGTCTATAGTCTAGTCTATAGTCTAGTCTATAGTCTAGTCTATAGTCTAGTCTATAGTCTAGTCTATAGTCTAGTCTATAGTCTAGTCTATAGTCTAGTCTATAGTCTAGTCTATAGTCTAGTCTATAGTCTAGTCTATAGTCTAGTCTATAGTCTAGTCTATAGTCTAGTCTATAGTCTAGTCTATAGTCTAGTCTATAGTCTAGTCTATAGTCTAGTCTATAGTCTAGTCTATAGTCTAGTCTATAGTCTAGTCTATAGTCTAGTCTATAGTCTAGTCTATAGTCTAGTCTATAGTCTAGTCTATAGTCTAGTCTATAGTCTAGTCTATAGTCTAGTCTATAGTCTAGTCTATAGTCTTGTCTATAGTCTAGTCTATAGTCTATTTTATAGTCTAGTCTATAGTCTAGTCTATAGTCTAGTCTATAGTCTAATCTATAGTCTAGTCTATAGTCTAGTCTATAGTCTAGTCTATAGTCTAGTCTATAGTCTAGTCTATAGTCTAGTCTATAGTCTAGTCTATAGTAGTCTATAGTGTAGTCTATAGTCTAGTCTATAGTCTAGTCTATAGTGTAGTCTATAGTGTAGTCTATAGTGTAGTCTATAGTGTAGTCTATAGTGTAGTCTATAGTGTAGTCTATAGTGTAGTCTATAGTCTAGTCTATAGTCTAGTCTATAGTCTAGTCTATAGTCTAGTCTATAGTCTAGTCTATAGTCTAGACTTATAGTCTAGTCTATAGTCTAGTCTATAGTCTAGTCTATAGTCTACTCTATAGTCTAGTCTATAGTCTAGTCTATAGTCTAGTCTATAGTCTAGTCTATAGTCTAGTCTATAGTCTAGTCTATAGTCTAGTCTATAGTCTAGTCTATAGTCTAGTCTATAGTCTAGTCTATAGTCTAGTCTATAGTCTAGTCTATAGTCTAGTCTATAGTCTAGTCTATAGTCAAGTCTATAGTCTAGTCTATAGTCTAGTCTATAGTCTAGTCTATAGTCTAGTCTATAGTCTAGTCTATAGTCTAGTCTATAGTCTAGTCTATAGTCTAGTCTATAGTCTAGTCTATAGTCTAGTCTATAGTCTAGTCTATAGTCTAGTCTATAGTCTAGTCTATAGTCTAGTCTATAGTCTAGTCTATAGTCTAGTCTATAGTCTAGTCTATAGTCGTCTAGTCTAGTCTATAGTCTAGTCTATAGTCTAGTCTATAGTCTAGTCTATAGTCTAGTCTATAGTCTAGTCTATAGTCTAGTCTATAGTCTAGTCTATAGTCTAGTCTATAGTCTAGTCTATAGTCTAGTCTATAGTCTAGTCTATAGTCTAGTCTATAGTCTAGTCTATAGTCTAGTCTATAGTCTAGTCTATAGTCTAGTCTATAGTCTAGTCTATAGTCTAGTCTATAGTCTAGTCTATAGTCTAGTCTATAGTCTAGTCTATAGTCTAGTCTATAGTCTAGTCTATAGTCTAGTCTATAGTCTAGTCTATAGTCAAGTCTATAGTCTAGTCTATAGTATAGTCGTCTATAGTCTAGTCTATAGTCTAGTCTATAGTCTAGTCTATAGTCTAGTCTATAGTCTAGTCTATAGTCTAGTCTATAGTCTAGTCTATAGTCTAGTCTATAGTCTAGTCTATAGTCTAGTCTATAGTCTAGTCTATAATCTAGTCTATAGTCTAGTCTATAGTCTAGTCTATAGTCTAGTCTATAGTCTAGTCTATAGTCTAGTCTATAGTCTAGTCTATAGTCTAGTCTATAGTCTAGTCTATAGTCTAGTCTATAGTCTAGTCTATAGTCTAGTCTATAGTCTAGTCTATAGTCTAGTCTATAGTCTAGTCTATAGTCTAGTCTATAGTCTAGTCTATAGTCTAGTCTATAGTCTAGTCTATAGTCTAGTCTAGTCTAGTCTATAGTCTAGTCTATAGTCTAGTCTATAGTCTAGTCTATAGTCTAGTCTATAGTCTAGTCTATAGTCTAGTCTATAGTCTAGTCTATAGTCTAGTCTATAGTCTAGTCTATAGTCTAGTCTATAGTCTAGTCTATAGTCTAGTCTATAGTCTAGTCTATAGTCTAGTCTATAGTCTAGTCTATAGTCTAGTCTATAGTCTAGTCTATAGTCTAGTCTATAGTCTAGTCTATAGTCTAGTCTATAGTCTAGTCTATAGTATAGTCTATAGTCTAGTCTATAGTCTAGTCTATAGTCTAGTCTATAGTCTAGTCTATAGTCTAGTCTATAGTCTAGTCTATAGTCTAGTCTATAGTCTATAGTCTAGTCTATAGTCTAGTCTATAGTCTAGTCTATAGTCTAGTCTATAGTCTAGTCTATAGTCTAGTCTATAGTCTAGTCTATAGTCTAGTCTATAGTCTAGTCTATAGTCTAGTCTATAGTCTAGTCTATAGTCTAGTCTATAGTCTAGTCTATAGTCTAGTCTATAGTCTAGTCTATAGTCTAGTCTATAGTCTAGTCTATAGTCTAGTCTATAGTCTAGTCTATAGTCTAGTCTATAATCTAGTCTATAGTCTAGTCTATAGTCTAGTCTATAGTCTAGTCTATAGTCTAGTCTATAGTCTAGTCTATAGTCTAGTCTATAGTCTAGTCTATAGTCTAGTCTATAGTCTAGTCTATAGTCTAGTCTATAGTCTAGTCTATAGTCTAGTCTATAGTCTAGTCTATATTCTAGTCTATAGTCTAGTCTATAGTCTAGTCCATAGTCTAGTCTATAGTCTAGTCTATAGTCTAGTCGATAGTCTAGTCTATAGTCTAGTCTATAGTCTAGTCTGTAGTCTAGTTTATAGTATAGTCTATAGTCTAGTCTATAGTCTAGTCTATAGTCTAGTCTATAGTCTAGTCTATAGTCTAGTCTATAGTCTAGTCTATAGTCTAGTCTATAGTCTAGTCTATAGTCTAGTCTATAGTCTAGTCTATAGTCTAGTCTATAGTCTAGTCTATAGTCTAGTCTATAGTCTAGTCTATAGTCTAGTCTATAGTCTAGTCTATAGTCTAGTCTATAGTCTAGTCTATAGTCTAGTCTATAGTCTAGTCTATAGTCTAGTCTATAGTCTAGTCTATAATCTAGTCTATAGTCTAGTCTATAGTCTAGTCTATAGTCTAGTCTATAGTCTAGTCTATAGTCTAGTCTATAGTCTAGTCTATAGTCTAGTCTATAATCTAGTCTATAGTCTAGTCTATAGTCTAGTCTATAGTCTAGTCTATAGTCTAGTCTATAGTCTAGTCTATAGTCTAGTCTATAGTCTAGTCTATAGTCTAGTCTATAGTCTAGTCTATAGTCTAGTCTATAGTCTAGTCTATAGTCTAGTCTATAGTCTAGTCTATAGTCTAGTCTATAGTCTAGTCTAGTCTATAGTCTAGTCTATAGTCTAGTCTATAGTCTAGTCTATAGTCTAGTCTATAGTCTAGTCTATAGTCTAGTCTATAGTCTAGTCTATAGTCTAGTCTATAGTCTAGTCTATAGTCTAGTCTATAGTATAGTCTATAGTCTAGTCTATAGTCTAGTCTATAGTCTAGTCTATAGTCTAGTCTATAGTCTAGTCTATAGTCTAGTCTATAGTCTAGTCTATAGTCTAGTCTATAGTCTAGTCTATAGTCTAGTCTATAGTCTAGTCTATAGTTTAGTCTATAGTCTAGTCTATAGTCTAGTCTATAGTCTAGTCTATAGTCTAGTCTATAG